CACTACAGTTGATATGTTAAGTAAATCGGGCTTCCCCATTGACTTTGCTTGTCAAAAGGTTGCAAAAGGTGATCACATGACCTTGCCACACAGCAATGGTCATAACAATGAATCACTTGTCAAACATCTGAATTTTGATCAGATGATCATGGTGACGCTAAAAAAACTAACTCTGAAAAATGGTCATAAGTCACTTTTTTCTGTGCCATTGTAACTTTGAACAGTCACTAAATGGACTGTTGTAAATTGAGGACTACCTCTACTGCTTTACTTGATCTCATTTTTAGACAGTACGGCTTTGTTAATAATGGACTAGATAATGTGATGCATAGTTTTCCTTCCTTTACACTTCCAAAAGAATATGGATGAGGGATCAGGAATTCATGTGTTCAACTCCTTACTTGATCGTCACATCACTGGCAATTGTTTGTTCAACCTAACAGCTCTAGTTGCCAAAACAGGAGAAGAAGTCAAGTTAGGATATAGAAAGACATTGCCACAGAAGTTTCATTCATCTGAACCCAAGACACTGATGCTTCCAATTCTAATTAAAAGACAAATAAATGTCAGATTTCAATCCTGAAACAGTTCTACCATCAATGCTTCCACAAAACTTTATGTTCCTTCTAAATCATAACTTTAATTTTGATATGCTTTTCTCTCCAATCTCAAGATCTTTTAGGTTATGGCTTGAGGTTTGTCAGGAAACAAAGGAGTCATATTAATGACTTTCTATCCAGAAAAAATGACCCTAAAACTTAAACCTTCGCCATAAGGCAATCTTCTGTAAACACTATAGAGCAGGGGTGTCAAACACGAGTTTGACACCCTTGCTATAGAGACTCAGGCCCAAATGCTTTTATATATGACAGTCAGCCATAAACTGGGATTATGCTAGACTACCACATCATACAAAACAAAAAGACAACTCACACTTCAGAGCAACATCTGAACCAGGTCATCATACAGTGCCTAAGATTTACTTGCAAGTAAGGAAAACTTCCAAGCTCAAATCCCACTGAAAAGAATTTATCTTATCAATATTTTCCAACAAAAGTCACTCATACTATGATGAGATGAAACTGGTAGCAGCAACAATAATCAAAATGGACAGACTGGATGAGTTTTGATGGCCAAACTTTGTAGAGGAGAGATGACACGGTTTGAAAGTTAAAAGCGTCATACAAAATCCACACATCTCTTAGGCTCACCAGATATGGGCTGTTAACAACCAAATACTCACTACATGGCATTGACATCAAAGAATCTCAGAAAATTTTGCAACCCACATCTGGGATATCTAGCTAATTAGGGGGACTAATAGAAAGAAAAACCTTATCCATTTGCAGGGACTAAATATAGGTAATCCTCCACTTACAACAGTTCATTTACTGATTGTCTGAAGTTACAACAGCACTGAAAAAAGCAACTCATGACCCTTTTTCACACTTAAAACCATTGCAGCATTCATATGGCCATGATCAAAATTCAGGCACTTGGCAACTGACTCATATTTATGATGGTTGCAATGTCCTAGGGTCACGTGATCACCTTTTGCGACCTCCTTATAAGCAAAGTCAATGGGGAAGCCTGATTCACTTAACCATGTTATTAATTGCAGTGATTCACTTAACAACTGCCGCTAGAAAGGTGGTAAAATTGGGCAAACTTCACTTAACAGCTGTCTTGCTTAGCAACAAAAATTTTGCACTCAATTGGGGTTGTAAGACGGGGACTACGTCTAGTTCAATATACTATTAAAATTGTACAATTAAAGTAAGAATAACAACCATCAGTTCTGTTTAATGACCCAAAGCTAAAGACCAAAATCTTACTATAATAATACCAAATTAAACTTGCTTCCTCAACATAAGGTAGACTGGGACTGTCCATACTTTGGGTTGGGGGGTGGGGAGTTATACTATGGGGATTTCTGAAGGCCTCTTGCCTGTTCCACACACCACAAGAAGGGAACCTCCACTAGCTTTCTCTGGGTGTCCAAACTGAATGGACTGATACTATACTAAGAGTTTCCTGTATAATCCAATGCTATGCTGCAATGGCTGAGTTTGTGTAACACAAGACATTATGCCAAACCAAGTAAACCCCCTCACTTTGAGCATGATATGGGGACCCATCTTCTTTGTTGTTTTAAGCACAGTGGGTTCATCAGGTTACTTCTCTAGGAGCAGACATGTGAGTCAACTCATCCAGAAGTGCCTGGTAGGTCTGCATTATGCTTGAGAAATGAACAACGTGCTAAAAGAAAGCAATACACCCAAGGAAAACAGCCAAAGACAGGGCAGGACAAGCTTTGCCCAACCTACCAAACCAGCCTGCTGAGTGTTCTTAGCTTTGCAATGTCCCTGTTCATTCAAATGTTCACCAAAGGGGTAACTTCATCTTTGTACTTTTCTTAGTGGAGGGAGGGGTGGGAGAGGGAGAGGGAGGGAGAGGGAAAGAGAGAGAGAGAGAGAGAGAGAGAGAGAGAGAGAGAGAGAGAGAGAAAGAGAAAGAGAAAGAGAGACTGAGATTGTCAGATCAGTCTGGCAATAAGCCATGTCCTATGTCCCACTGTTATCTGAGCCAAGATTGGTGAGTTACACAAGAAACAGAGTTTTTGTGGCCATCCTACCTGGGAAGACAGAAAATTCTGCATTGCTTTCATGTTCTGCTCATAGGAGGAGCTGTTACCCTGCGGAAGTGCATATGGGTTGTACAAAACTTTGGATTCAATTCCTGATATCTCCAAAAGGAACAGAAAAGGCTACAGATCCGAATGATAGTTGCTTCACACCTTAATTCAAAGATGGGAAAATGGGGGGGGGGGGTGTCGCAAAAAGAGACAAGTCCAGAGACTTGATGAGATTGTGGAGATGGGCACCCCTGATAATTTGAAGCCTGTAACTGATTTGTTTTCTATGGATGGTTTTTTAAGCAGAGGCCTAAGATATCCATTTGTATCTCTGTTGCTGAAAAGTAGCAAAAAAAAAAAAAAAAGATTAAAAACAAATAAATTTGTGGCCAGGCCTGTAATATGATTGTGAAAGGGCTTGTGAAGAGTCAACTTAAGGCTTATGAGAGGCTTATTCCTGCTCTACTTCATGATTTGTTAGGTAGGATTCAATTAATGACTTCACACACCACACTCAGTCGTAAGACTTGGTGAATAAAATAAAATTTCTGAACTTATGCAGATTATCTCAAAACAAAATAATTTGGCTTTGGCTGATATGCTAACCCAGTTAATACTGAGTTAAAATGGGCCACATATATGACCTGAGAAGCTTAAATGTTTACAGGACAGAATAGTGGATATTATGCATTTTCAATGCTCTTTTTAGTTTTTCTATTCCAGCAGTACTCCTTTTATTTTATTTGAGTTCAGTATTTTTTTTCCTGAGGGTTAGTCACCTCAGATCTTTAACACAGGCAGCAAGGTGAGCTACTAATGCTGGTAAAACGAATTTAAAGAATAAGGAGCTCTCCCTCTCCATCTTATATAAACTGGGAGGTTTCCTGTGTGTGTGTGTGTGTGTGTGTGTGTGTGTGTGTGTTTGTTTGTTTTATTGGATGCTTATCCCACAAACCCTCTGGAAAGCTCCAGGACAAAAAGACTGGCAGCATCTCTAGAAGCAGAGGGGGCAGCAGTAATAACAAAGCAAGTTAGCAATGGGCTGCGGAAAGAAGCTGCTCTCTCCATTTGCAGCATTCAGCCATCCTGACCAATAAAAAATAACATTTAAAAATTTTAAAAGTTCAAAAACAAGACCTAAAAAGGCAAAAGACCACAGCGGATATACAAAACAGAAGAAAGATGCAATCAAAAGTACACCAAGAACTCCCCCCCTCCCACAGTAGGATCTCAAGATAGCATTCAAGTAGCTGGAACAGATTAAATTGAGCAAATAATGGAACAGAAGGAGCCCGTGGATTTATCTTGGGCTCTGCCATGCTCTCTTAGCCTGGAACCTGGGATTGTGGGGAGGACTCAAAACAACGGCAGGGACTTCAGAGTGGACATGTTTTCAGTTTGCGAAACTCTAGCTTTCAGACACCAGATTTGACTGAAACCTTGCAGAAGACTTCACAAGCCATAATCCTTCAACAACTTGAAAGCTAATGCAACCTGATAGAGCTGCTCAGTAATACTTGACTTTCATCCCTTCCAGGAAGGTGCTGCGTATTTCTCCCGGGTTAGGCTTGCTTTCTGCAGTTCTGTAACAATTGCAATTCGCCCAACAAAACACTATGGCCAGCACTAAAGCATCTTTTCTAGACCAAAAGAGAAGATGCAAGCCACACCACTCTTCATGCCCCCCCCAAATGACCCCTATTCCCAGAAGATCAAAATGATAACCACCAAGGGGTCTGTCCCTGGCACACACCTGGCCCATCAGCTGGTGCCTTCTGCAACCACCCCACCCACATTCCAACCCCGCTGGGGGCGGCCCCATCGTTAAAAGACAGGGGCAACTTCCTGACCACACAGCCCCAAGGTGGCAGCTTCGGTTACCATGGAGACTCATTTTCTCCTCCCCCCCCCCGCCGCCTATTTCGGGGCACACACCTTCGCTTCCAAGCCCCAAAACCAACACAAGATGGACAAGATCCGGAGCAGCACAAACAATCCCCCAACTCAGCCAGGGGTTGAGGCAGTAGCCACCAAACCCGTGCGGCGCTCCATTCCCGGTCCACGCGCCCACCCGGGAACCCCGAAGCGGCAAAACCAAAGAAAGGCGGCCGTGGGGGGGGGAGGAGAAGAAATGCAATCAGGATGCCCAACCTCCTGCCCAACCGGAGCACCCCCCTCCCGCCGCGGGTTCAAAAACCACCTCCCCCCTCCCTGAGGGGGAACCCACCCGGCCATTCGCTCAACCTCGCCCCCCAGCCTCGAGCACCAAGCACAGACCACCACCACCACCCGTTTTCCAAGCGCCTCAGCGGAAGAGCCCCGGGGCCGTCCGGCCAGCCACGTTAAAATGGCCCTGGACAATTACCTCACGGAGCGGGGGCCTCTCTGCGTGGCGGAGCGAGGAGGAAGCTTGGGGGGCGAGCCGCTCTCGCTCTCTGTCGTCTTCTTCCTCGGGAGGCTTCTCCCTTACAGCTGCTTCTGTCCCGGTACCATGGTGGCCGCCCGCCTTGGCTGCGAGGCACGGGAGAGGAGGGCGAGGTGGATGGCGACGGCCCGGGCGGACTGAAACAAAGCCTCCCGTGCAAGCGGCGGCGGCTGGCTATTGCTGCGGCTGAAGCGCCAGACCTACGAGCGCCGCGCAGCTCCCCACCTCCATTCTGCCTGCGCCTTCACCTCGCCGCTCCAATTGCACAATAGAGCCGGGGCAGCCTCATCAATATTCATCGCCCTCGCTCTCCCCCCTCCCCCGACGCTTAGACTAGAGCAATGGAGCTCCTATCGCTCCGACTCGCGAGGAGGAGGAGGAGGGAAAGGGACGGAAGGGGGGGGGGTGAGAGAGAGCGCTTCCCTTGGCGCCCTGCACCTATTGCATCTGATTGCAGGTGGCGTGCGTGCGCACGGCGGCGGCGGCGGCTACGTGAGATGCTGGGGGAGGGGGGGAGCGGGGGAGCCCCCGGGGGAACTCACCTCCCTTCGGGCGGCGCGGAGGGAAAGAGCAGACAAAGGGCGAAGGAGGGCCGGCTGCCGCCCTGCCTTCCTCTGCAGCCCCCGCTCCGCAAAGAGGCAGGCTGGGCGTGGAAGCTCCGGCCGCGCTGCTTCCGCCCTTCGGCCGCTTGGGGTTGCCCGGGAGCGCGTTGCGAACCTCGGTCGCTGTGCTTGGCCCGGGCGTGGGTTTTTCTCGCGCCTCATGCAGGCAAGCGGGCCGGGAAGAGAAGGGACGGGGCTAACTTGGCTGGCTTGGTATAAAGCGGCCGAAGCGGAGAGGTATAAAGCTCGCGGGGCAAAGCTCGGTGCAGCCCTGGATGCGGCAAAGGCGGACGGGCGTTGCGCCCCCGACAGGAGGAGCCGCGCGCTGAACTGGATCGGATCTGCCGACTTTGCAGGGTTACTGTGAGAGAACCGCCAGGAGGGAGTGAAGACCCGGGTCAGGCGTGCTTCTCCAACCAGGCGTCCACCGTACCAGTCTCCCATAAACTGTCCATTAATGTAGAGCAGGGGGTCCAGCCTTGGCAACTTTAAGACTTCAGCTCCCAAAATTCCCCAGCCGGAATTCTGGAGTTCAACTCCACAGGTCTTAAAGTTACCATGGTTGGACACCCCTGATGTTGAGGATGAAGGTAGCCCACAGTTCCCAGCCTTAAACTGATTCGTGCAAAAAGGGGCCTAGAAAAGAATTGCAGTATGTGTGTGGGACAAAATGTGACAAAATACTTCATCCGAAGTAACACTGAAGATGTTGTCAAGTCTGGTAAGGAAATGTTTGGAAGCTAAACAGCAAACTCACAGAACAAACCGGAGAACAAACTGCCACCACCAGGTAGAACCAGCCAAGCTACAAATATTTTCCATCATTTCAGGATTGCAAGTTAAATTTCAATAACAACTGAGGGTCCCTGAAGTTACCTAAGGATCAGAATAAAAATTGGGGACATCCAGAAGCTTCACATTGGTGGTTAAAGGCAGGTTTTAATTTGGTTTTATGAAGAACAAGGTTCTCGGATTGCAATAAACTGTGATGCAGTTGGTGTAGAACCTAAGGGATCAAAACTTTCCAAAACTGGAAGAATATAAGAGGCAGTGCACAAAAGACAGCAGGATCCATACAACTAGGAATATTTTTTTCCACTTTGTTGCCATTACATAAAAGGGGGGGGAGTCAAAGTTAACGCATCCATTTTTCTGACTAATACAATTTATTAAAAAGCACTAGCTTTTGTGAGTTTCATTGGATGAATTTGATGAAGTGAGATGCAGCACATAAAACCTGATGCTTTTAATAAGATGTGTTTATTGGGAAAAATGCCACTTGGCTGTTTTTTATTTTTTATTTTGCTTTCCATAGACTGACATAACTCCTACGTATTATGATAGTGATTTTTCAGAAAGCCAGAATACAAGTGTCTTGCTGTATTAAATAAGCCAAAGGGTCCTCAAAGCCAGCTTCCAACAGTGGCTGAAATGTGCATTTCCTCACTTCTTCAAGAAGCCAAATTCTACTGAATTGAAATAGTAGCACCATGAAACTGCTTAGAACTTTCCTTGGTGCTTTCCTGTCCAGGAACACTGCTATTTATATCCAGGAATGGAGAGCTATTCTGATCATTGTGAGGTATTACAGATAGTCCTCAAGTTACAACAGTTCATTTAGTGACCTTGCAAAGTTACAATGGCATTGAAAAAAGTGACTTATGACCATTTTTCACATGACTATTATAGCATCTCAATGGTCATCTGATCAAACTTCAGGTGGTTGGCAACTGACTCATATTTATGATGGTGGCAGTGTCTTAGAGTCCCCTTTTGTGACCTTCTGACAAGCAAAGTCAATGGGGAAGCCAGATTCAATTAACAACCATGTTACTAACTTAACATCTGCAGTGATTCACTTAACAAATGTGTCAAGAAGACTCATAAAAAGAGGCAAAACACTTAACAACTGTTTCACTTAGCAACAGAAATTTTGGGCTCATAAATCAAGGACTGCTCATATTCTCAGTTAATAATGTTGTCAAGCATCATAGAAGGAGAGAGTAGACTTTTTTCTCCAAAAAGTTGCCATCCAGATGTACTGGACTTAAAGTCCCATAATCCCCCACGCTGCAGTCATAAAGTGACACCCAATTTACATGTACTTATAAAAATTCTTTGGATTAGGAGTACAGGGAACAACCATGCTGGATTAAATGTCTTGTCTTGGAAATGATGATTTAGAAAGATATTTTAAAGTTCATAATGGGAACAGTCACCCTCTGGAAAAGAACAAAACAATTAAAAAAGAAAAAGCAACTAGACAAGTGATGGGAGCCTGGAGGTTGGGGTGGCAGGGAGTGGCCCTGTTTAGTGGCGTCACCAGCATAATTTAGCAGGTGCCCATGAAACTCACATAACTGCATTCCACCCTGCTCTCCAAATGGCAAAATGTCTGTTTGGAGAAACTTACTACTTTTTCTCCCCAGTGAAAGTAAATTTCTTGGAATAATGAGTAGAGGGAGAGAAAGTCTGGATACCATATAACAAATGAGGTACTCTACCACAACTAGCATGCAAATGATAGTGTTTTTCTTTTTTCTATCTGTTTTTCTATTCGAACTCTCTAAACCAGCATTTTTCAAACTTGCCAACCAACTCCCCATCTAAATCCACACACCTTAAAGTACATTTGGCTGGGGAGTTTTGGGAGTTGCAGTCCACACATCTTAAAGTTTCCAAGATTGAAAAACACTGCTCTAAAACCTTGAAAGCTTGGCTCATCCACCTCAGCTTGTTTCTCTTCTTCTTGCGCCATATCTGTCATCGGATGTTGGCAATCATGTTTGCGATTCTATTTTTATCAACAGCCGCATGAAAAAGTGCTGTTGAGTTTTGTCCAAACCAGTCCCTTAGATTTTGAAGCTATGATGGCTTCAAAAGGCTTTTGAAGCTTCTTCTGCCTGGACCTTGTTTGTCTTCAATTTTTCCTTGGAGAATTAAGTGAAGTATAGGGTCCTATGCCATGGAGCGCTTTAAAGGTGGTAACCAACACCTTGAATTGCACCCGGAAGACCACTGGGAGCCAGTGCAGCTCGCGCAGGAGGGGCATCACGCGGGCACAACGAGTTGCGCCCATAACCACCCGCGCGGCCGCATTCTGGACCAGCTGGAGCCTCCGAGTGCTCTTCAAGGGGAGCCCCATGTAGAGAGCATTACAATAGTCCAGCCGGGAGGTGACAAGGGCATGAGTGACCGTGCGCAAGGCATCCCGGTCCAGAAAGGGCTGCAACTGGCAGATCAGGCGAACCTGATAAAAAGCCCCCCTGGCCACGGCCGTCATATGCTCTTCTAAAGACAGCCGTGCATCCAGGAGGACACCCAGATTGTGAGCCCTCTCTGTGGGGGGCAAAGATTCACCCCCAATAGTCAGCGATGGCACCTGCTGACTATATCGGGACGCCGGCAGCCACAGCCACTCGGTCTTGGATGGGTTGAGTCTGAGCCTGTTCCTCCCCATCCAGACCCGCACGGCCTCCAGGCAGCGAGACATCACATCAAGGGCATCGTTGGGGTGGTCTGGGGTGGAGATGTACAGCTGAGTATCATCAGCGTACAGGTGACACTTCACCCCAAAACCATGGATGATCTCACCCAGCGACTTCACATAAATGTTGAACAGAAGAGGCGAGAGGACCGACCCTTATGGCACTCCCCATGCGAGGTGCCTCGAGGTCGACCTCTGCCCCCCTGCCAACACGAACTGCGAGCGGCTGGAGAGGAAGGAAGAGAACCACCGCAAAACGGTGCCCCCTACTCCTAACCCTTTCAACCGCTGCAACATGATACCATGGTCGATGGTATCAAAAGCCGCTGAGAGATCTAATAGGACTAGGACAGAGGAGCAACCCCTGTCCCGGGCCCTCCAGAGATCATCCAGCAACGCGACCAATGCGTTTCTGTGCTGTGCCCCTGCCTGAAGCCCGACTGGTACGGGTCTAGATAGATAGCTTCATCCAGGTGCCTGGGCAGTTGTCGTGCCACCACACTCTCAACAACCTTCGCCACAAAAAGAAGGTTGGAGACCGGACGGTAGTTAACTAATTCAGCCGGGTCCAGGGAAGGCTTCTTGAGGAGGGGCCTCACCACCGCCTCTTTCAAGGTGGCGGGAAAGGCACCCTCACTCAGAGAAGCAGTTATAATCCCCTGGAGCCAGCCTCGTGTAACCTCCCGGGAGGCCAGTACCAACCAGGAGGGACACAGGTCCAATAAACATGTGGCGGCACTAATCCTACCCAGAACCCTGTCCACATCCTCGGGAGCCACAGGATCAAACTCCTCCCAGATAATATTCTCAAGACCTACCCTCGTCTCCTCCCCCGGACTCACCCAGTCGGAGTCCAAGCCTTCCCGAATCCGAGCGACTTTATCGTGCAGGAATTGCACAAAATCCTCAGCTCGACCCTGCAAGGGATCCTCCCACACTCCCCCCCGAAGAAGGGAGTGGGTCACCCTAAACAGGGCAGCTGGGCGGTTCTCTGCAGATGCGATAAGAGCGGAAAAATGGTTAGATTTCGCCACTTTTATCGCCACTAGGTAGGTCTTGATATAAGACCTCACCTGTGTCCGGTCGGAATCAGAATGACTAGTCCTCCAAATGCTTTCTAGGCGTCTTTTCCGACGCTTCATCTCTCTCAGCTCCTCAGAGAACCAAGGAGCCAATTGAGATCGGCATCGGGTCAGAGGCCGCAAAGGCACGACACGATCCAAAGCTCCGGCGGCCGCACTCTCCCAGGCGGCCACCAGCTCTTCAGTCGAGTCATGTGTCAGAGTCTCA